AGACTATAAGAGTTCCCAGAAAAAATGAAGCAAGAGACAATATAAAATTATACATAAATAAGAACAATGGTGGAAAATAATTAGGAAGAAAATAAAGTTTAGTATAGGAACTGGTAAATCTTGTCCAAGTAACAGACTCCTTGAAAATTAGACTGGATGAAACAAACTCCATGAGGCAAGAAATATTGAAACAAAATATAAAAACTGAAAAAATAGAAGAAAAAATAAAGTTATCTACTACCAAAACCAACTGACATGACAAATGAGTCAAATAGGATTAAAGAATTAACAGACTCCCTGAAAACCATGCCTTTAAAAAAAATCCTGGATGGCTTACTTCAAGAAATCATAAATGATAAATAAATAAGTCCCGAAGGACAAAGTGAAAATGGAAAGCATCTACCTCCTAAAAGAAATCCCAAACATAAACTCCCAGGAATATCAAATCCAAAATCCAGAGTTTCAAAGTCCAAGAAAAATGCAAGCAGCTAGAAAGAGTGAGTTCAAGTGTCAAGGAACCAGAATTAATTAGGAGGTTCACACAAGATATGGCATCTACCACTGTAAAGAAAATGAAATCTTGGAATAAGACATTCTGAAAGGCAAAAGATAAAAGGCTTACAATAAAAAATAACTTACTCTATATACCAGTATAATTCTACAAGGCAAAAAGAAAGAGTTCCTGTCCTCAAGGAGTTTACAATTTAAGAGGACAGCAACACATAAAAAGAAGCTAAAAAATGTTGCAGGGGTGGGAGGAAGGAAAGGAAAGGTTTAAATAGGCAGAGGCATGGTTAAGATAGAGCCTGTAGAGTCAGGAACAGAGCATGGAGAGGAATAAAGGAGTCTAGGCACTCATGGTCTAGGAATCTTCCTTAAAATGGAAGATCTAGGAGGAACAACCCAGGGGTGGGGAACCTAGAGGCTGGAGGCCACATGTGGCCCTCTAGGTTTTCAACTGTGGCCTTCTGACTGAATCCAAACTCACAGAACAAAGCCCCTTAATAGAAGGATTTGTTCTATAAAACTTGGATGCAATCAAAAGGCCACATCCAAGGACCTAGAAGGCCACAGGTGGCCTTGAGGCTGCAAGTTCCTCACCCCTGAAAACCAAGCAGAGTAAGGCACCACTAGGGTGGAGGGATAATCCAGGGTGAGAAGGCCCAGGGATGAAGAGATTTTCCAGAGTGAGAAGAAAAAAGTATAAGAGGATAGGATGGAGGGAAATACACAATTAACAATCATAAACATGAAACCGAATAGGATACACTCACCCATAAATAGAAAAGAATAGTAGAATAGATTAGAAAATAAAATCCAGCAGTGTGCTGTTTACAGAAAACACGTGAAACATAAAGATTCAAAAAGAGTTAAAATTAGGGGCCAGAACAAAAATTAGGCTTTAAGTGAACTATTAAAAAAAAAAAGCAAGGACAGCAATCCTGATTTCAGACAAGGCAAGAGCAAAAATAGACATGATTAAAGGAGGTAAACAGAGATAAAGCAGATAAATATTATGCTTAAAGGCACCTTATACAATGATTATTATCAAAACTTAATATGCAGCAAATGGTATAGTATCTAAATAATTGAATTACAGGAAGAAATACATAGTAAAACTCAATGTACTCCTTTCAGAGACAAATCTAACTCCTCTCTTTCTTAACCTCCATATCCATTCGTTTGCCAAATCCTGTTATTTGTACCTTCACAATGTCCCACACCTGACCTTTCTTTTCAAATACAGCTACTACTGTAATTCAGATCCTTGTGACTTCTTGCTTAAATTACTGTCACAATCTCCAAACTGGTTTCTTGGCCACAAGTCCCTAACCACTTCAGGCTATCCTACACAATGCTGCCAAAGTAATGTAGCATATAAGCTCTGGTTCCATTCTGGTTCCACTGAGTCAGGCCTGCTATATTTCCCCCTCAGGGTTCTCAGGTGCCATCAGGTGTATAGGGCTATCTCTTAACATTGAAGAGTTTTTACAAAGTGATATTTACTTACTTTACCCCTACCTATCTGACAGCTCCTTCTCAAGTTTCCTTTGCTGGACCCTCTAACCCTAGATGTCCTTTTCTCTTCTCCCTCTAATCTATTTTACTAGGTGACCTCATCAACTCCCATGAGTTATCTCTATGCTGATGAGTCTCAAATCTACCTATCCTACCTCAACCTCTCTGCTGATATCCATCCTGAACCTCCAACTAATTTTCAGACATTTCTAACTGGATGTCCAGTAGACATCTTCAATTCAATATTTCTATAACAGAATTCATTATTTTCCCCCCTAAATCAACCCCACCTCCTACTTGCCTTATTACTGTAAAGGGCAACACCATCTTCTCAGGTTTGCAACCTAGGAGTTATCAACTCCTCACCATCTCTTGGCCCACATATCCAATCTGTTGCCTTGGCCAGTCAATTTCACCTCTCCAACGTCCCTTGTATATACACCCCCTTCTCTCTTCTGACACTGCCACCATTCTAGTGCAGGCCCCCATCACCTCATGCCTACACTACTGGTGGGTCTGTCTGCCTCATCTCTCCCCTCTCTAACCTTCAGCCAACAAAGTGGTTTTCTTAAAGTTCAGGTCTGACTATGATACACTTCTTACTCAGAATTCACTGACTCCCTAGCACCTCCAGGATCAAATAAAAAATGTTCTGTTTGGCATTCAAAGCCCTTCATGACCTAGCCCCAGTCCTTTACAATCTTCTTGCACCTTACTCCTTGACATGTACTTTGCAATCCAGTGATACAATCCTGGCTGTTCCACAAACAAGACACTCCATCTCTCAGCTTTTGTTATTTTCTTTGACTCTCCCAGATGCCTGGAATGCGCTCTGTCTTCAACTCTGCTTACTGAGTTTCTTGGCTTTTTTTAGTCCCAACTAAAATTCCATTTTTTACAGAAAGCCTTCCCTAATCTCTCTTAATTCTAATGCCTTCTCTCTGTAAACATTTCCTATTTATCCTGTATATAGCTTACTTTGTATATATTTGTTTGTATGTGTCTCCCCCATTAGATTATAAATTCTTTGTTGTTATTCGGTCATGGCTCTTCCCGAACCCCTGGACCATAGCAAGCCTTCTATCCTCCACTACATCTCAAAGTCTGAGTTCACGTTCATTGTTTTCATGATACTATCCATCTCATCTTCTGCCATGCCCTTTTCCTTTTGCCTTTAATCTTTCCCAACATCAAGGGTCTTTTCCAATGAGTCCTGTTTTCTCATTATATGGCCAAAGTATTTAACCTTCAGCTTCAGTATCTGACCTTTCAGTGAATAGTCTGAATTAATTTCTTTTAAGTACTGACTAATTTGATTTCGTTGCTGTCCAAGGGATTCTCAGAAGTCTTCTTCAGCACCACAATTTGAAAGTGTTGACTCTATAGCACTCAGCTTTTTTTTTTAATAGCCCAACTCTCATAGCCATATATTGCTCCTGGAAAAACCATAGCTTTGGGGCAACTAGGTGGCATAGTGTATAGAGCACCGGCCCTGAAGTCAGGAGGACTTGAGTTCAAATCCAACCTCAGACCAAATGCTTGATGCTTACTAGCTGTGTGACCCTAGGCAAGTCACTTAACCCTAATTGCCAAAAAAAAAATAGCTTTGACTATACAGATTTTTTTTAATGGCAAGATAATGTCTCTGCTTTTTAGTATGTTGTCCAGATTTGAGAGTTTTCCTTCCAAGGAACAAGTGTCTTTTAATTTCATGACTGCAATTACCATCTGCAGTGATCTTTTAGCCCAAGAATATAAAATCTGACACTGCTTCCATTTCTTCTCCCTCTTTTTGCCAGGAAGTGATGAGACTAATCGCGGGGTTTTTTTTTATGTGAAGCTTCAAGCTAGCTTTTTTACTCTTTCTTCTTTCACCCTCAACAAGAGGCTTCTTAATTTTCCTTCACTTTCTGCTATCAGAGTGGTATTATCTGAAATTATTGCTATTTCCCTAGCAATCTTTTTGATTTGTTCAGCCTGGCATTTCAAATGACATACGTGACTCCATTTGAAGTTTTCTTGGCAAAGATAATGAAGTGGTTTGCTATTTCCTTCTCCAGCTCATTTTATAGATGAGGGAACTGAGGCAAACAGGGTTAAATGACTTACCAAGGATCACACAGCTAGTAAGTGTCTAAGGCCAGATCTGAACCCAGGAAGATGGGTCTTCCTGATTTCTGGCCCAGCACTCTGTCCACTGAACCAAGCCTTTCCTTGAGGGCAGGATGATCTTTTGCCTCTTCTTGTAACTGGAGCTCTTTGCACATAGCAAAGCTACAGCAAGAACAAAAGTACAAACATTTCCTTCAACATCTCAAGAGGCATAATGTCTCCCAGTTTACTGATGAGTCACTGGATTTCAACTATGACCAATAATAATGAGAGCTAGTATTTATGGAGATTAAGTCTGTAAAATACAAATATTATCTTATTTCATTCTCATAAGCCTGGGAGGTAGGTGCCATTACCATTTCCACTTTACAGATGGGGAAACCGAGGCAGGTAGCGTTTAAGTGACTTCCCCAGGTTCACACAGCTAGAAAGCCTCCGTGCCACCTTGTTTGCCTAGGTCTCATTAGGTCTGGAAGGGACTTTGGGAATCATATAATCCAAAGGCTACATTTTACAGATGAGAAAACTGATGACTAGAGAAGGGAAGTTACTTAAAGTCACACGACTAGTAAATGGCATGGCCAGGAGTACAAGCCGGGTTTTCGGATCTCCTCCCCAGTCCAGCGCCCTTCCCCCACTGTGCCTGCCTCTCCTCTATGGGTACCTGTGTCCATCCTTCTCTTACATCCTTCTGATCAGTTTGTCATTAGCTGTCTGTCAGTGGGTCTCGAGGTCGTCGTCGTCCCCCCCCCCGCCCCTTTAGACCACGGGAAAGAAGGGACCATGACTTATCACACAGGACAAGCTCGCTAAATGTTTCATGAACGAATCAATAAATGAATGACTGCAAGAATGAGAAGCATCCTCACGTTCCGGGCCTCGGCGCTTCAGGCTGCCTGGCCCGGGCCTCCCTCGTGACCAGAGCGGTTTCCGGGGGGACCCTTTTGCTCATTGCACCACTGAGCCGCCCGGAGCCGGATGGCGGAGACACCGTCCGGCTGCCTCCGTGCAGAGGTATGGCCCCGACTCCAGTGCGGGGTCGGCGGCGGCGGGGGCGGCGGCGAGGGTCAGCGGGTTAACGGCAGCGCTGGAGTTCGAGGCCGAGCCGGAAACGGCGACGGGAGCCGCGGGTCCCGGAGGCGGTGGCCGCGGGCCCTGACAGAGCCCCTGGAGCCACCGGGGGAGAGGCGGGTAGCTACGGCAGTGGTAGCGCGCGAGGGGCTGCTGGGTGGTGGAGAGCGCGTGCGTGCAGGCGGCGGGCCGCGCGCGAGGGGCTGGAGGGGGTGGGAGGGGGTGGAGAGCGCGTGCGTGCTCTCCGGAGGGCCGCGTGGAAGGGGTGGGGGCGGGAGGGAGCGTGTACTCCCTAGAGGGCTGCGGTGGTGGAGTACAGAGGAAGAAGGAGGAAGCGCGTGCCGGCAGGGGGGTCCCCTCCCTGACAGCCGGCCTCGCGCCAGAGGACCCACTAATCCTCCGCGGCCGCCGGGCACCCCGAGCTTTGAGGAAGCTAATGCGACTAGGGCCGGTCTATTTGCAACCCAGCGCAGCGTCCCGCACAGGCTGTACTAGGGCAGTAAAGGGCTGGGGTGCTCAGAGGCGCCCCCTCCCCTTTGCGCATATTCTTGACAGAGAAGGGAATCAGTCCTTCCAGATCCTCTTCAAGACCCCCCATGGGGTCCTGGAAGTCTCCCGCACACCTGAAAGGCACGATTCAGGGACCGGAAAGGGTGCATGTGTAGGCCTGCTGAGCATGAAAGGACCTCCTGAGCCCCAAAGTAGCCTCCCCCTGCTCCTGGCCCACCAGCTTCCTGGAGAAATGAGAACCAGAGGGGAGTCAGGGCTGACAGCCCTTGGAGTTTGAAGTTTAGCAGGGTGGACTGGTAGACTCAGTGAAGATAGATTTTTAGCTATTAGGCCAAGAAAAAAGACCAGTTAACCTAGACTGTGAGAGAATATGTTGACCTTTGGCACCATTCTATCAGCTTCCCAATTATCTGCCCAAGTAAGGTTATTTGATTCGAACTTTGAGTTGTCAACTGAATGGGATTTGACATGGCAGATTTTATGTTTTTGTTTGTTTTTTTTGCAGAAACTAGTATTCAAATGGATATATTCTTTTATGACCTCTTTTATTTAAGTGATCCTTTCTGGGAATTATTCTCTACTAAGGATCAAATGAAATAATAATTGAAAAATGCTTAGCACAATGCCTGGCACCTAGTAAGTGCTATATAAATGTTATTATTACTGCCTAGAAGGAGACCAGCTTCTCCTCACACACAGACACACACACACACACACAATGGAGCCTCCTTGCCATACTTCACATATCTCTTGAGTCAGTCCAGTGGGCCATGTGGGTAGATTAGCTATGATTTTCTATTTTCTTTCCCTGTTACTGCCCTCATTAGTAGAAGTGATTGAGAAGTGACTGTCAGGTCTCCTTGTAAATATCAACCCAATATTGATGTTAAGAAACTTTTAAATATACTGTTTTATTTGTAAAATATCCAAATGGGCTTTTGCTTAGTTATTAAATAAATAACCTAGTATTACAAAAACTAGAATGAGTTGTTCTCACAAAAGGATAGATGTTTAATTGAAGTGATCCCTTACAGTCTGTTCTTCTGCTGTTTTGTACTTTGATAATGTCTTGGCCCCATCACTAATTAAATAGCTTTAGGAAAGGACCTGACCTAATATAGTTTTCCTGACCAGACACAAGGAATACATGAAAGGGCTTTTTGTTCTTTGTTGCTTTCACTGTGGCACCAAGAGACACTTTTGTAAAGAAGATGTGAGAGGGAATGTAGTAGAATATCATTCAAGGTCTTATGAATTAATGATAAGTAAGAGTAACACTTTTGAGTTTCTCTAACATCTTTCATCCAAAGAACTCAAAGCACATTGACATTTGCCCTCTCAATATCCCTGCAAGAAACACTCATTCCCATTTTCCAGACGTCACGAAACACAGAGAGGGTAAATGATTTGCTTACGGCCTCAGGGTACCATCACTGGTAAAGCTAAACCTTTCTTCAGATTTCTTTGAAGAAATCTTGCAGATTCTTTCTAGGGGGTGGGGGGAGCTAAGAGGGAGTTATTTAATTCTAGAGAATGTTCTTCAGAGAGCATCATAGAGGAAAGATAGCTAGTTAAAAAAATAAAAAGAAAGATAGTTTATAAATTTAAGGAAGTAATTTTATAATTGTTGTTGATTACCATGGGGCTTAGATTTCATCCCTCTAGGCTGAATTTGATGTAGGGATTTTTTTTTACTTTCCTTGGAAACTGAGGGTCTTCATTTTCTTCCCTCTGACTTTTAGTCTTGAAAAGATGCCAAAGCTGCAGGGATTTGAGTTCTGGAGACATACTTTGCGAGGGGCACATTATGTAGTCGCCCCCATGGTAGATCAAAGTGAACTGGCTTGGAGACTATTGAGCCGTCGCCATGGAGCTCAGTTGTGCTACACACCTATGTTACATGCTCAAGTCTTTGTTCGAGATGCCAACTATCGAAAGGAGAATCTGTACTGTGATGTGTGTCCTGAGGATCGCCCCCTTATTGTACAGGTAATAAAGTCTAGGTATTGGAGAAAAGCATCTTTTTGGGGGTTTAGAGTCTAGAATAGGGATGAGGTGATATTTGTTTCCTAATAATATCACGTATCTGTTGTTAAAGTAAAGAATCCTACATGAGACCTTTTTTAATAATCAGTAGAGGTCTGAAACCAATATCATTCCCAGAAACTATTTCCAAATTTCATCAAGAAGGAACAAGTTCTAAGAACTACATCAGTGAAAAAACTAGAACAGAATCATTGGTGATAGTGTGTTGCTGGAGGATCACTTAGAAGAAATCCAAAGGATCTAGAAATGTTTTTGTGCATAGATGAAAGCATTCAGGCTACTTATTCTATCTAATCCCTTTTAGATATACATAACACTACTCTTCCCATCTCTCCTCCACATGCACATATCCTCAGCAGATCGAATAGAAAGAATTATTCTGCTTTTTCATGAGCTGTCAGTGAGGTAGTAGCTGGATCTTATTAATCATATGAAATTCACATAGGAAACAAAAGTATAGACTTTGTTATATTTCTGCTATAAGAAGCAACCTAGAAGACCTTTATAATCCACCAACAGGCTACAGGATTGTACCCTGAGAAATACTGCTGTATAAGACAACCAAAGGCCAAATTCATTCCTTTGAAGCCACAGCTTGTGAAAATACAGGCCCTCTGTTGTCCCTTCCATTGGGCTTGGCTCTGATGGGTGTGATGGACTATCGACATGTCTTTTCCAGTTCTGTGCCAATGATCCAGAGGTGTTTGTCGAGGCTGCTCTCCTGGCTCAAGATTATTGTGATGCCATAGATCTGAATTTGGGCTGTCCTCAAATGATCGCCAAGAGAGGTAAGAGCAAATAGAAGCCATTATGAAAAAGGTAGTGACAAAAGCCTAAAACCTCCCTGTCTCCCCAGGTGGCAGGATCCTGTCCCTTTTGAATTCCTTTATTGTCTGAGCAACACCGCATTATGGCTTAGATCCACAGAGAAGAGCATCTGGAATTCCTTCCTTCCTCCCATCTCAGACTCCTTATATGAACTTGATCAAATTACTTATCTTTTTTTTCAGCTTCTGGCTTTTCCATTTGTAAAGTAATCATTATTCACTGCAATAAAATACGGAAGAGGAAAGCACGTTCTATTTTTAAAATAGAGATTATCTTCTTTTCTACAGGATCATTTTGCTCCCCAGAAGATAGAATTTACTTTCAGTAGTTAAACATTTTACTCCCAAGTTTGCTCTCATTGTGATGTTTATTATTGGAAATTATTATTGGTGTTTTAATCCACAAGTGCTCGCTCTTCGCTTCTTTGAGAGAATCCTATGTACTTTTTAATCTCAGTACAGAGAGGAGATTAGCACGTAACTTGTGTTTCTTTATCCAGCTGTAATTGTGCTCTTGGCAAAGGAGCATTTTGGAGCCCTTTGGCAAGGAGATCTGAAACTTTCAAAATTGATTTTAAATTATAGAATCTTCCCCCTTTATCTCTCCTAGGTATTCATTGTGGCTACATGTGCACATGACTGGCTTCATAGATGGTGTCAGAGTCAGTTAAATATTTATTAAGCATCTACTGTATGTCAGGCACTGTACTAAGTGAAGGAGAAAGGAATGCTCTGAAGCCAACTTGACTTCTCCCAGAGGGGGAATATGTCATGGGGATATCATTGGCAGTTGCCTGTTGCAGAGTTCAGAACACATGTTACTTCTGCCCAAAGTATGGCTCCTCCTCCTCCCCTTTTTTAAAGTAATATATTGTGACTTCTGCTCAACTACTGTTCCTGCATTGTGGCATAGACTCTGGATCCTTTAAGACTCTGCAGGGAGAGCACACACTCTGGCAAGTGTGATGAAGCTGCAAAGGCTGTGAACACTGGCCTGGGGTTTGACTGCTGTCTGGTGACTGCCCTAGCTAACTAAGTTCAGCGAAGCTCACCGCTTACTTGGTTGCAGGGTGGTGAAATTTTCAGATACAGCAGTAGTTCCTACGCTGATGAAACCACAGATTCTTTAAGTGTTTGAGAATTTAAAAAAAAAAAGCCACACAACACTAGCCCTAAAGACCATTCCACTAAGTAATAGAGGAGTTGCAGTCTGCATCTGTTCTCCCACCAGTGAAATCACAAAACCTTGAAGAACTGAAATTTTCTTTTGAAATCACAATAACAAAATTACAAAGAGAAAAAGAAAAAAAGTTCAGCAAAACCACATTCACACGTTTGAGTGTATATGCAATGTTCCATACCTAGTGTCACCAACGCCAAAAGTGTCCCTTTTTTCAACTGTTTTTTTTCTGGGGCCAAGCTTGGTCATTGTTGTATGATTATATGTCCTTCAGTTTTGTTTTTCTTTCTTACATTGTATTCATTCTGTGTATTGTTTTCCT